ATGCCCTTAACAGCATTACAGAAACTACGCTCTTGTCCTGGTTTTGCACAAGCACAGCAAACCGATCATCTCAGAGTGCTCCAAGTGCCAATTTCATATAAATGCCCCCAAGGGACTCAGACCCAGCTCTGTTCTCCAGAACTGTGTAATGTTACTGTGTCCTTCATAAAAATACCCACCAAGTGCCCTTTTAACATGCAAAAGTAGAGCCAGGCTGAGAGCGAGCTCTCAGGCTTTCATTTGACCGACTGAATTGTCACCAATATCAGCTACAAGGCTCAGAAAGGGAGGCAGCACCTCTGTTTTCCCTCTCATTTGCTGAATTACAGATGATCACTGGACCGTGGCAGGATATTGAGGGAGGAAAAGCACAACATGCAGAGAAGCAAGTGAGGAGGCACCATAAGTGGCTGTAATAGAATTCAAACGTGTCAGAGAGGTGGTGAAAGTCAGATAATTGCAGGAAGATCTGGAAAGAGGAGATGAAAGGAGACTAAGTGAAGGGAAGAGGTAGGAAGAAAAAAAAAAAAAAAAGGGGGAAAAAAGTGAGAAAAGTGAAAGAGAATTATAATGAATAGAAAATGTGAAGGGCAAATTTCTTTTTCCCCTCTTCCATCTCCTCCCTCACATCCCTCTAGGGCACTGCTCCCTGTTAATTCTGTAACTGAGGACTGCTCCCTCCTAGAACAAGATGATGGTGGGCTCCCCCCATCCTGGAGCAGGACAACACCAGTTGCCTGCACGTTTATAACATCTCCCCACAACTTGTCTCTAGTGCTGAAGCCTGGGGCTGCAGGGTCTGCAGTCGGCAGTGGCTTCTGCTGCAGGAACAGCCCACAAGACTCACAGAGAAGCCACTTTCACCAACAGGTTCCAGGTGTAAAGCACCTGCAGATTCTCACAGCTAACAGAAAAGGAGCACAGACACAGTGACTCCCTTTCCATGCTAAATTATCATTAAAAGTGTTCAACAGAATATCATCAAGGAAAATTATTTCCTTGGCAAGTTTCTGGTGTTTTCAGGAAATGCTGCAAGCAGCTGAGCTTCTGTTCTAACATTTCCAGTGGATGAATTCTTCTCTGCACTGATAACAACGTTTGCATAACTTCACAGAGTGTTCTGATACCTGTAAAAGCAGACATCCTTCATACAGAGCTGAGTGGGTGGTTGGAACTAAATTAGGATTGGATAGGACAGGTGACCAAAAACTGGTCAAGAGCTAAGAACACACCAATGAAAGCACATTTATAAAGATTTGGCTCTCTGAACACAGTGCTGAAAACATTTTTCACTGTATTTTCAAGGAGATGACCCACGTACTGGAACCTAATTGGATACTTCATTATTTTTCTTCTGATATCCCACAAGAAGAAGTTATTTAAAATATGTTAAGTATATTTTGGTATTTTTTTTCAGTGTCAAACAGCTGCAAACAGCTATATGTACCATTTGCAGAACTAAAGGCAAAAAATTAAGAAGACAACTGTCTTCTGAAATTAGTTAACAACTACTTTCTGGCTATTTGAGCTTCAAAAATAAACCTCAATGATCTGACCAGTCATTTTGAGTATAATTATTGTGAAGGACAAGAAACATGCTCTTACCAGTTTTATTAGCAAAAAAATTCTGCCCTTCTTTTCTGATCCTTGCAGCACATGGATAGATTGATAGAATTATTTCAATAAATAATGTGTCTGTATTGTTATTATTCTGGTCAGTGTCTTCTGAACATACCCAGGAAAAAACCCCAAGTATGCAAATTCAAGACACAGATTATTAAAAAGACCAAACTAATGACTCACACTTTCATTACTCAAGCAAAACAGTATTTGCAGTACTGTCAAATTTGATAATGGCAAATATGAAGAACCCTGCCCTGCATTTACAGCAGGATGATACTCTTAAAACATGCCAGTCAACTTTCTGAAGATTCATTGTTAGCTGAGGTGATCAGATCACGAAGTTCTTCAGAGGTTTGTGCGATTCCAGGACATCACTGGAAGAAGTTTTTGATGGTACACTGACTTTTCTTAGATTTGTTTATGCACACAATAAAAAAAAGAACTCTGATGGCTTCGTCTTCTTGGTTTTTTTGCTTTTCTTTTCACTGAGCATTGACAGACATGCCTGAGAGACTACAATTGTTTCAAAGCTGGATATGGACTGGGATACAAGCAGAGGCAGCAGATAAATGATAATTAAAGTGAACCATTCAGCATTCTGATGAAGTTGAAAATTAGGACTGTTTACATAAGTCAGAACTTATTTGCATTTCCTGACATTTCAGGTCTCTTTATCCCTCGATTGAGAATTTCTTATATAACAGATAGCTTAATGAGTTGAATAAAAAAATAATAAAAAAGCAAAGCGTCCTGCCATGTCTGTTAGTGGTACCTGCAGTTTGGCCAGATTGCCTCCCTGCTCTTAACTCTGCTTCAAGAACAGATTTGGTGATATATACACCAGGATAAAGTTTTTAAGGAACGTTCAAAAAGGAATGTTTAAATACACAGGCCCAGATGATATTTTATACAGAGTACAGGCAGATTCAAGTCTTGCATTTCTGAGTAAGAAGCATTCATAAACCATTTCATGAACATATTTTCAGAAAACCTTTAAAACTTGTACCCCTTGTCTAAACTAGCATTATGAAAAAGCTTTAATTGGTGTAACAGGCATGCAAATAATATTTCTAAATTACCTGGTCTCACAGTAAGACCGTATTTTCAAATTATTCTGCCATTTAGATACTCCTGATTTCAAAATGAAATAGAAGTTATCAGAGTTAGAATTACACACCTAGTGACTACTGCTTTTAATTATTCTAAACATATCTGGAATTACTATAATGACTGATATTTATCAGTAGTTGCAATAGCAAGGAGACCTCCCATTCCTTTCCAGCCCTGCCCAAGTCCCTGTTTGCCTGCAAGACTAGGGGAACAAATCTCAGCAATTTCCTTTAAGTGCACAAGTCACAGAGACAAAATGTCTTTCGCTGTCTGATAGGCTGGGATAGCTTTGCTGCCAATTCCTCCTCTCCACGACAGCAGAGAGGGAAGGTATTAAACCAGCAGCAGTTCAGAGAGCCCAGGAGGTTGTAACACCAACGTGAGGTGACTCTCAGCAACACACCAAGCTTGCTGTACCTCCACAGGACCTTAGTGCTGCCCACACTGAGTCTGCCCCAGACCCTGCAGGCATTTGCCCACCCATTCCCTTGTACCAGTGCTGCCCCTCAGCCTCACAGCCAGGTCTCACTGAGCCTTGGCAGAGCCAAAACTTTTCAATTTTGATGTTCTAACACAAAAGAAACCACTGTTCATTTACAAATAAATCCATTTGCATCTCAGTGCTGGCTGCAGCTTCAGGCAGAGATTTTACCAAGCTTTCCCCTGCAACATTACAATGGAGAAAGCACAACACCAGACTCATGAAGTTAAATTAAACAAAATGCCATTAAAAACTTAACTGCTGAGACAACATTAGATCAAAGCTGACCAAAGAAAAACACAGTCACGAGAGGAGTAATGGCATTAATTTAACAAGTTAATTCCAGAATACTACAACCCAAATAACAGGGAGAAGTCTCTGTATAAAATCCTCTCTCCAGTTTCACTGGTGCTGTAACAGACTGACAGTTTGACAGAAAACACTGTAAAGATACTGTAACTCAATTAACACGAACTGTGTGTAGGGAAGGCAATACACAAAAGCAAAAAATACCAGTGGAACGACATGGAAACAGAAAATGGATTGTTCCGAGGCTACACGTACCCAGCCTTCAGAAACTGCAACAGCATCAGCAAGCAAGGGGCTGAATGCAAGTCAGACTGCTCTGATTTAAATCTGCTCCTGCTGTGGCCAGCAGGAAACTTGTCTCCAGATTCCCCCAAAGCCATGGAGGGAAGGGCATTGCTCATCTCCTCACCTCCAAACAACACTCAGCCACAACTGAAGTGCTAAAGACCAGCAGTGGAAATCTCATAAACAAACTTCAAAGTAAATATTTTACCAGGCATAAGTAAGTACTTATTAAGATTGAGATTGTATCTTCAGTGTCCTTGACATTTTACAATAGTGTTTATTTCCCTTGTTTGCTAATTCACAGAACTGGATAATCTACAAGAAATTTACACATTAGAAGCGAGCAGGATTCTTGGGCACGACTTCATAAATATGACATTAGCACAACAATGCTCTAATATAAACAATACACAATTCTAAGCAGGAGCAAAACATTTCCTGAGGGCAGAGGAGGCCCTGTTTTCCACTGAATAAGCTCTGTGTGCCAACCTGCAGGGACCCCAGGAGGGGAAAGGACCCAGTTTGTCCCGTGGAGCAGGGCTCTGCTCTGCCAGAACACTCAGGGAAAGAGGCTGGGAATTAGGTCAGTGAACCAATGACCCCCCAGTTGCATCAGCCCAGCACTCCTCTCAGGCAGGGGAGATGAAAACAATTTCAAGACTAAACCAGTTCTATGAAGATAGTGAGATTCTGTCTACAATATGGACTATTTTTTTTTTCCCAATGAATGAAAAACACATGAGTAATCTGTGTATTGTGACTATTTATGAAGTCCAACATGAAGCTTGTACTCCCAATTATCAGTACTCACATGTACAATGAAAATAAATCCCATTATAATGAAAAATTCTATTTTTACCTGGTCACTAATAGGACATAAAATCAGACTGAGACAACATTTCATAGATACACACAGTGTTTCCAACAAAAATCTATAAAAATTAAATTGGGCGCTTAAAGACTCCTCCAAAATGCGAGGGAGTAGCTGGGAACAGTTTTGGAGAAGGCACACACTGTAAGCAAATGAGGGCTTTTGTTACTCTGTTAAGGATGTCAGAGGCATTTGCTTTTTTTCCCTGACTCATCCTTTTCCTTAGTGGGTATTCTGACCCTTAGTCCTGGCAAATCCATCAGCACCAAAAAGTTCTCTCTGGTACCTCATTAATCACTTCCTTGCCGTGTGCTATCTTACCTGCAGATGTAATTCTTCTTGCAGGACTCTTGCAAATTCAGGCAGTTTGGTTTCTCCCTGTCCTCATATGAACACACAGGAACAATAGTCTGCCGTCTCCTTTCTGTACAGGCTACGTCTCGACAGGAGCAGAAGAGCATCCCGTAGCTGTGCTTTGGGGGGACCTTGTCAAAAAATAGCCGGAGGGCCTTATGACACTTCCGCTTGTTACAGATCTCATTAGACGTGCTGCTGGTGCAGGGGGTTATGTAAGCAGATCTGAACCTCTTGCAGGTATCATTTAGGTTACAAGCTTTGGCCGCATCCAAGCAATTGTTCCCCTTTGAAAGTACTGGCTCCACTAGAAAAAACAACACAACAGCAGTGAGAAACGCGTCACATTTACACTTTGTGCTCTGTGGTTATTTCACTGTTAACGAGATCCTGAACACATATGTTTGTTACATACAAAGCTTTACGTGCCAGAAAATGGGACCAGTCCTTCTGTTTCTCAGGGTAATGGTTTAACACCCACAACTGGGAGCTCTCTGAGGCCACCCACAAGTTCCATGCTTAGGTAAAACACTGTTAGAAGAGCTATGGATGCCACCTGAACCCTGGAAAATTTATGAGCTTTACAAACTTTGAAGAAGCTGACATAAAATTAAAAAGTGGCTATGAAAGAAACGTTTTTAAACAAGGATGTCCCTTTTTCTCTCTCTCTCTCACACACATACACACAGACAAACGTACACACTACAAGAAATTGTAGGAAAAATTAAAATCCGATGTAAGTTAAGGCTGTAATTACACATTTAATTTCTCAATACATTATCCAGATATTAAAACCCAATAGATGCTTTGCTTGAAAAGGAAGGCAACTGGCATTAGATTGCAAAATTCAATTAAGAATAATTGTAATGCTGCTTTGGATATTAGGAATGCCAACATCACAGATCCAAGAAAATACATTAATTTCCCACTGCTACAGAATTTGCAAGCTGAACAAAACATTTTGCAAACATCTAAAATCTGCTGCAACCTCTTGGGGGGGGTCTGGCCAAAGATAAAACATTTTAAACGATCTAAAGCTCTATGTTACCCTTACAAAAAGCCTTTTTTTCCCCTAGATCTTTCACCTTTACCCAGAAACTCAGTCCAAGGTCCTTCTACAACTCACTGCCACTCATCTCCATTCTCCTACCACTCTGCCTCCCATTCCCACATCAGGACATCAACCTTCTCTCTTTTTCCACAGCAGGAAACACAAAGCAGCTTGGCTGAGATGCTGCACTGAGCTCTGCATTTGTTGGAACACACTGTGCCCAAGATGGGCCTGGGCTGCTCACACATGCTTCCCATTATTCAAATAAATCACCTGCAACTGTCCCATGCATCTTACCCATCCAAAAATAACACAAAGCTAAGGAGCATTAGATTTGGGTTTCATTCTAGCACTGTGCTGTAACTATGTTCAGTGTGTTTGTACATTTAACCTTTATAATTTAACAATCGCACTCCAAGTCCTTCCCAGTCTCAGCTGCCTGCACAATAAAAAGGCAACTTTTTGCATCTTATCTTCATAAATTACAAAACTGTAAACATGCAACATTTGACTATAAATTAAGAGCCCAGCATTTCTTATAATAGCAGCCTACAACAGATTAAGCAACACCAGATGCAGAAGAGATGAGATGCCCAAAATACAACCCTCTCATAAAATTGTAACATTTTAATATAAAATGTTGTATTACATTAGCATACAACTATAATATTAACTATGAACCCTTAAAGTTATTTTATACAGTATATAGAATTATATGTTTAGTACAAATATAATTACTATGTAATCTGCAGGGTATATAATTATGCAATATATGAATAGTATATGCTAATTACTATGTGATTGCAGAGTAATTACATGGTTATTTGTGCCTGGGAGTCAACTGCTGAATTCCACTCTTTAATACAAAATCCTGTGGAACAGTTCTGAATGGGGTATTGCAATATGAACAGAAAGCACTGTGAACACAAGCACCTCAAAAATCAAAAGGACAGGTTAATCAATCTTTTTCAAAAGGCAGAACATAAGCCAAGTCACTGACAGTGCAAACAGCAGCGAAAGTTATCTTGTGTGAAAGCTGAATTAGGTGCAAAGTGTTCACAAACGATAGTTATGCATATTCATACCTGTCAGTCAATTTATATCTGCCCAACACTCACATTCCTCTCTACACTGTCAACTCTGAATACAGACTGGTTTTGGGGGGGGGTTTTGTTTTTTAAACCAGCCCTGGCTGTAACATGCCCCTTGCATTTCTGGTTTGATACATATGTCTCTAGCTGTTCTTTCCGGCATACTTTTCCTAACATTATACAGATGATTTTTACCTTTTAAAACCAAGACTAAATGTAGGAGAGGTGCACCAAGTGCATCTGAATTAAACCAGACTGTCTACACCAACTCTTCTCATTAATACCAACTTCTTTTATGCTTTTAAATCATATTTTAAATGCAAAGTTGACAATCTGCAATACATTTAATGCCTTATTTTTATTGCAAAAGTGCAGAATTATTCCTAAGTCCTGTGGTAACTACAAACAGTTAACAATACTGGGAGTGTTCCCGAGGATTACTTATGCAGCAGTAATTTATAAGGTCAAAATTTCACCCAGCTTCTGTTCCACAAAGCTTAAATTATTAAGACAGGCGGGAGTTTGGCTCTTACCAGGTACTGACTACTTTAAAAGCAAATGGATCTTATCCAGAGCTACTTTTCATGCCAGAACCCTTTGGGAAAGGTTTGTGTAAGGAGATCCTTTTTCAGTTTCCCCCTCTCTTGGGGCATTAGGATATGGATTGGGGGCAGTCAGGGCAGAAGCCTGGAACAAGTAAAGATTTCTTTGCAGCACCATTTCCCAACCCAGAGCCTCCTCTCTCCCAAATGTGCTTTGCATTTGTCCATTCTGGACATCTCTGCCAAAGCACACAGGCCTCCACTCCTGCCAGATGACCACGGAAGCCGTGGGAAGTCCCTTCCAGGCAGGTGGTAAGCGGTGTCTCAGGGCTGTGAGCGAGGCTGTCTGCAGCACCGGCCCAGGAGAGCTGAGCTGAAGCACCAGGATGCTGCTGCCTCCCAGCAGGAGCCTGCATCCAGCAGCTGGGGATGCTGCCCCGATGGGGTAGAGGCAGAGGGATGCCAGAGACCAGGCAGAGCCAGGAGCTGTGCCTTGGTGGGAGAGCAGCAGCTTTGGGATTCCTAAACCCAGCCTGTCACCAGGCAGCTGCTGCACACCACACACACAAACTCTGGGGCAGGACCATTGGTACTGACACTGACTTGCCTTTACCTGAACCCCCAGCTCCTCTACTGCACATGTAACGTGTGACATGTTTTCTGACCAATTTTAGAGATGAAAAAGCAGTCCTTGTACCGTGCAACCACTCTGATGTTTTACCTCCTGCATCCCTCCACCCTGGCTACAGCCGTAGCTGTCCTGGACTGAGTCCTGGACTCAATCTCCCACAGACCACAGAAAGAAGACAGCCAAAAGCTCCAGTTTTTTATCCAGAGGTGCTCCTAAAGTCTTAACAGGGCTTCCTCTACCCTGTTTGGTCTTCCTCATGCTTCACCCTCTTCCACAGTCTCTCCACCTTCATCTTTCATTTTCCTTGAACCTCCATTTCTATTTCATTTTCTGTACCTACTGTGTCTCCTCAACTCCTGTTAACCCACCCCATGGTACCCAAAAAAAGCTTCTCAATAGGTACTGGGAGCTTCTTATTTGTGCTCCCACTAGACAGAAGGAGCACAAGGAATATTAATTGTTCTATAAGATTCTTATTAAGCAGCAAAATGGACATTTAGTTTTCAATTTTCTTACAGCATATAAAAAGCAATTTACCGAGGTTGTCATTAAAATTACCATTACTATTTGCAAGTAATTAGCATTAGTAGGTTTTCTAGTGGATATAGCGAAGGCAATTCTGTAAAGAGAGAAATAAATGTTAATGTGATGGAAGGCAAAACTGCAAAGTGATAGAGGTGACCACAGGGGTATGGGCCTACTCCAACACAGGTGCAGGATATGGCATATAGGAACCAAAAACTGATCAAAATTAAGAAGAGAGCCATGATCCCACTTAAACAAAAGTGCTGCTGTGGGGTTCACCAAAGTACTTTTGCTTTGTAAGAAGAGCAATTAAAAAATACGGAAATCATAGCAAACATTGTCATCTACATTTTATCTGATGCATTTAAAATAAAATACCGTTTTCCTGGAGAAATTATTTATAATCCCAAATAGCAAAGAAAAAATGGGTCATCCAAAAAAAACCATGAGACTGATAGTATAATTCTGAAATTCTACTTCTCTTCTGCTCAGCATTTACATAACAGCAGGCCAATTTCAAACCTTTTTCATAATCTTAATAAGCAGGTGACTTACTTTTTAAATTAAAGCTCATATATTATCAGCTAAGACCAGGGCTTTCAGAATACTACCACGTACAACAAGATGCATGTTGAAATTACAGTTGATGGCACCAGGTGACAAAGATGAGACCATGAAAGTTACAACCAAAGCTACAGCAACAAAAAGATCTAAACAAACAAAACTGCCTAAAATGAGACTTCAGCTTCCTAAGACCAAAGCTGAAACATTCTACATTCCTGATTAGTCATTAATTCTTTGATCACACTAATTGCCTAGGTCTCCAGAATTCTTTTCTGAATACCCCCATAAATTCACTTGAGGAGGTAAATACTTTCTCCTGTCCCAGCCATTTAGAGACTGGGAACAATCACGTTGCTTAGCGTGAACCAACAGGCCTGATTTGGAAGTGTTCATCTACCATGTTATGTTTGGAAGTGTTCAGCTACTGTGTTATGCACAACTGCTAAGTCTGAAGTCTTTCCCAACACACTCCAGCCTTTGATTTTACGAGACTCGGCTGGTGAATCATCAGCTGGGATCTTGCAGAGAGTTTGGTTCGCTGCCTTCCGTGACATGAGAGACTCAGGAACACCGTTCTCATTTCCCAGAAGGGCTCTCAAACCATCTCACCACAGAGTGTTCTCAACAAGGAAATGGTGCATATTGCAAAACAAAGAGGGAGCAAGCTGCTTCAGCCCAAGAATGAGAGCTCTCACTGGGAGGCAGATTGCTGGGTCCTGGCCTGCTCCCAGGAAAGAGAGTTATTTCTCTTACAACAGCAATGACTGGAAACCTTCCCTGAAGAAGAGTCTGTAAGCCTGCAGAGGCATGATTCCACTTGTACTCCCTACTTCTAATCCCTTCGAAAAACACCACATCTCCTTCCCTTCCTTCCAGACCACGGTACTGCCAAACCCACAGGCT